GGGCAGCAAGACCTCATCTCTACAATAAATCAAAAAATCAGCCGGGCATGGTAGCACATTCCTATAATTCCGGCTACTTGGAAGGCTGAGGCGGAAGGATCGCCGGAGCCCAGCAGGTTGAGGCTGCGGTGGCCGGGAGCGGCCACTGCACTCCAGTCTGGGGGGCAGAGTGAGACTCTGACTCAAAAAAAAAAAACCAAAAGAGAGTGCAGAAGCGGGTGTGAGGATATCAATCTAAATAAGGGCGGGGTATGGTGGCTTATACCTGTAATCCCAGCACTTTAGGAGGCCAAGGCCGAAGGGTCACCCGAGCCTAGTTTAAGGATGTGGTGAGCCAATGATTGTGCCACTGTATTCCATCCTGGGCAACAGAGTGAGATCCTGACTCAAAAAAAGAAAAAGTAGAGAGAGGCTTTCTAAAAGAAATATTTATTTGGGAATAGGACACTGCAATGGGAATACAGGTGTCATCATTAACGATGTGCATATTCAGGGAGGTAAAGGAAGACTAAGGTTTCTAAAGGAAAGCAATTACATGATGGTTTTGAAATAATTATCCTTGGCTACAAATAACAACACCAGTCCACAGCTGGTCAGGCAGTTGCAGGTGGACGTGCTTGTGAAAGTGTTTGTTTTTTTCTTAGTAGGAGTCCCACTCTGTCGTCCAGGTTGGAGTGCAGTGGCACACTGACGGCCACCACAGCCTTGACCTGCTGGGCTCAGGCGATCTTTCCACCTCAGCCTTCCAAGTAGCTGGAACTACAAGCATGCGCTACCAAACCCGGCTAATTTTTTATTTATTGTAGAGATGAGGTCTCACCAAGTTGCCCGGCCTGGTCTTGAACCCATGGTCTCAGGCAGTCTTCTTGCCTGGGCCTCCCAAAGTGCTGGGATTATAGGTGTGAGCCACTGCACCTGGCTGAATGTTTTTTGGCTGTAGATTTACACTGGCTGTAGATTTTGCAGTGTCTTTTGTGAGATTTTGTTATCAAGCGTATAAGCATGAGAACCCTCCCTTCATGGCCTTCCCTGACTCTACTTGTTAGGGTTTATTTAAACACTGGTGACTCCATTTTGATTTTGACAACTTCCATAAGAAGCTGAGGTTGGAGGGACGGGTGGTGGGCTGAGCACACGGGGCTTGGAGGGTCACACAAAATGCGGGGACTTTGAGGGTCACTGAAGCCATTGGAGGGGTTTAAGGGGTGTGCTCACATTTGGATTTTTGGAAGACTTCTGGCTGATGGAGGATAGATTGGCTGTCAGCGGACAGCAATAGAGAGAGGCGAAATGGAAAGTTGTAGCAATCATTCAGATGAGATTGCGGTGGCCTTTATGATGCAGGTGGTAGCCTGGTGCACAGGCACACGCCTGTAGCCCCAGCACCTTGGGGGGCCAAGGTGGGAGGCTCACTTGAGGCCAGGAGTTCAACACCAGCCTGGGAAATATAGAAAGACCCCATCTCTACAGAAAATAAGATGCTGGTGGCAGTGGAATGGAATGACAAATGTGTCATTCAGGAGCTAAAATCAACTTGACTTGGCAATGTGGAGTGTTGCGGTGGACGGAGGATTTGGAGACAGGGTTTGGGTCAATTCTCAAGCAACTGGAAGGATGATGGTGCCCGTCTAGGGGAGGGAGCGCTGGCACACAGGGTGGGGTGGTAAGAGGGCCATGTGGAGCTTAGGCTGCAGCGGGACGGGTCTCCGGGGAGCTGGCCCTGGCCTGAGCTCCAGAGCTGTCTGGCCTAGGACTGTGGACGGTAACAGAGACCAGGCACCGTGGTGAGTGGGGGAGTCTGCCCAGGGAGAGGTCGTGGGTGAGGAGGGAGCGAGCCCCGAGGAACCCCAGCAGCCAAGAGGAGGCCACCAGTAGGAGCAGGCTGCCAGGCTACGGGAAAGGCATGCGGCGGAGAAGTAGGGAGACCAGGGCGGCATCATGACAGGAAAGCTGACGACAGTAGCCGTGTAGGATGGGGGGATGGAAGGGCACCGAGGCCCCTGAGGTGGAGCTGTACAGCGGAGGCAGCTGCTGGCCTCAGGACAAGTCTTGGCTTTGGCGACGAGCTCAGTTTTGGGGTGGGGTAAAGGGCAGGATGGAGCAGCGTGAGGAGTAAAACTGGGAGATGAGAGAGACTGAGGCAGTGAGCGAGGTGACTGGCTGTGAACGAGGTGACTTGGGTCAGCAGGCACTCATCACGCTCAGAGGCTGCTTGGAAAGAGCAGGAGAAACTGACGCCTGGGGAGGAAGAGGCCCGCAGAGGAGGGCTGGGGCTGCCATGAGCCTGTGGACTCTGCATCCCAGCTGCCTCCTGAAGCAGGAGGTCACTTGCTGTTTGAGTCGGAGTCTCCCTCTGTCGCCCCGGTTGGACGTAGTGGCATGCTCACAGCCACCATAGCCTTGACCTCCTGAGCTCAGGCGATTCGTCCGCCTCAGCCTTCCAAGTAACTGGAACCACAGGCGTGTGCCACCACGCCTGGCTAATTTTTGATTTATTGTAGAGATGAGGTCTTGCCATGTTGCCCAGGCGGGTCTCAAACCTCTGGGCTCAGGCAATCCTCTCGCCTTGGCCTCCCAAAGTGCTGGGATAACAGGTGTGAGCCACCACACCAGGCCACTTGCTAATTATTAAACAGCTACATTTATTCATTCCTTACCACAAGTACTCACCAGTTTGTAGCCATGTTGTTGATTAACGTGTGACTCTTAGCATCTAGCCCAGTGCTAGTGCATCATACGTGCTCTGTCAATACCAGATATGCCTGAATATAAGACAATTTAAAAAATATGTTTTTTGGCCAAATTGAATGTAAACATCTTTATAACTGCAAATACTCAAATATATACTTAGTTTTGGCTGGGCACTATCACTCATGCCTGTAACCCCAGTGTTTTAGGGGGCTGAGTTAGGAGGACTGCTTGAGGCCAGGAGTTTGAGACCACTCTGATCAATATAGCAAGACCCCACCTTTACAAAAAATTTAAAAATTAGCTGGGCTGGGGATGGTGGCTTATGCCTGTAATCCCAGCACTTTGGAAGGTGAGAGAGGACAGCCTGAGCCCATGAGTTTGAGACCAGCCTGGGCAACACCTCATCTTTACAATAAATCCAAAAATTAGCCAGGCGTGGTGGTACGTGCCTGTGGTTCCAGCTACTCAGAAGGCTGAAGCGGAATGATTGCCTGAGCCCAGCAGGTTGAGGCTACGGTGGCCATGAGCATGCCACTGCACTCCAGTCTGAGCAACAGAGTGAGACTCTGACACACACAACACACACATACACATACAAAAAAAAAAGAACCACAGATGAGCCTGGAGGCATTAGCCGTGTGATTTCATTTATGCATGGAATCTATGTTGATTTCACAGGAGAGAGTAGAATGGTGCTGACCAGAGCCCGGGGAGATTGGGGAGGAGGTGGCAGGGAGATGTTGGTCACAGGATCTATAATCAGAGAGAGATCTACTCTACAACATGACGACTGTTTACTTGAAAAAGCAGAGAGAGAATGGTAGGTTCTCACCACAAAATGACGGCTATGTAAGGTAATGCATTTGTTAATTAGCTAGACCTAACCATTCCACAAAGATCACACACTGTACATAACAAACACTACCTTTTTTTTTTTTTTTTGAGTCGGAGTCTCACTGTCGTCCAGGCTGGAGAGCAGTAGCACAATCACAGCCACCTCAGCCTCGACCTGCTGGGCTCAGGTGATCCTTCCGCCTCAGCCTTCCAAGCAGTTGGAACTACAGGCAGGCATTACCACACCTAATTTTTTTTTACTTATTGTAGAGCTGCGGTCTCACCAAGTTGTCCAGGCTGTTCTCAAACCCGTGTGCTCAGGCAATTCTCTTGCCTCGGCCTCCCAAAGTCCTGGGATTACAGGCTTGAGCCACCACGCCTGGCCTAAAAATGTTTTAAGATATTTTAAATAAATGTAGACAGATTGTTTTAGTTGACTCTTGCATTTTGAGTCTATCCCCATTCATCGTTGTGCTGAGAGCCACTGATGCCATCAGTTACTTTCAGAGTTGTGTAGTGGTGTCCCGGGCACATCCTGGCTCATTCCGTGACCTGCTGGAGTGCTGGCCCCTCCTGCAGCTGGTGCTTGGCGCTGGAGCCTGAAGTTTCCCAAGTCCAAAGTGCCCATCCAAAACCACCAATTCCCTCACGACCCAGAGACACCGCCGCTTCTCCAAGCCCTGGAGCCACCTCGACCCTTTCTAGACTTCACCAGCCTTCACCTTCAGAGCCCACCTCCTCACCTCCCACCGCATGGCTGCGAGTCCCCGTGCGAGTCCCCCATCTGCGGCCTGGCTCCCGCCGCTGCCTCCCTCATCCCCTCTCCAAAAGCACCAGAAGGTCCTGCGGAAACCTGCGCTGGATCATGTCCCTTGGGAGCCACCCATGCGCCCATCTCACCCAGAGAAAAGCGAGGGCCTGAACATGTCCTGCCTGGCTCTCCGATCTGCTTCCACACCTCCCTTGCTGACTCGCTCTCCTTCCTCCGCTCCACCAGGGCCTCAAGCATAACGTGTGCTCCCCTCGGGGCCTTTCAACTTGGTTCCCACTGCGGGCCAAGCTCTTCCCCTAAATAATCACTGGGCTCGTTCCCTTGTTTCGTTCAAGCCTGGAGTCTAATGTCCCCACCCCCTTTTTTGAGAGAGGGTTTTACTCCCTCACCCAGGCTGCAGGGCAGCGACATGATCACAGCTCACTGCAGCCTTGAACTCCTAGGCTCAAGCGATTCTCCCAACTCAGACTCGCAAGTAGCTGGAACTACAGGTGCATGCCACCATGCCTGGCTAACCTTTTCACTGTTTGCAGAGATTGGGTCTGGACAGGCCCCAGGAGGTAAAGTGTCAGCTGTGCTCAGAAGCCAGACAGATTCAATGGCAGACAGGAGCTTCCCTCTTAGAGTAACAGTCTCCTGGAGTTCCCCAAGCCCAGGAATCCACAAATGGAGTTTCGTGAAAACAGATGGCATGGCTTCCCAATTGGATAAGTTATGAAATTTATTTATATTTCATCTTTTAAAAGCCAGAACATAACAAATCTCACTTTCTGGAAAGTCATCTTATTAGAAATACATGAAGTGCACTTAAGAGATAAGAAGTTTCTTGTCCCACTGTGAGATGGACACACGCGCACATCAGTCCCCTCAAGTGTGAATTTTGTCAATTTCCCTTCAAACTGCTGAGATGATCTCAATTCAGGGAGGTCTGAGTGAACTTCTTCCAAAAATGACAGTGAAGAGGCTGACTTTAACCCCTGGGTCCTCTCCAGTAACAGCAATGAAAGAACTATTTTCTCAGCAGCCTCATCTTCGCCGGTCACCAGGCACCGGCAGCTCTGCATGGGCAGGCAGGAGAGGCCCACAGCAGCAGTGACAGTCCCGCACCTGTGGTCACTCGCAACGCCAGCCACAGGCCAAAAAAGAATCCACGCCCAGACTCGAGATGCATGACACAAAGAATCTGCCTAAGTCCATTTGCCTTCTGATCAGTCAGAGGCTCTGCTTCCTCAGGCCGGGCAACCAGCCCTCGGCCTTCTGTGACTACTGTTCACGGGACATGCCAAGTGGCAGGATTCTGAGCATTGCCAGGGCAAGTGTCCAGAGATGGCCCTCATCACCACCGTTCCGACAGGTGCCATGCCTCACGAACAGGAGTGTCCTCAGACAGATGGGGCATGCTGGGTCTCCTGCGCTTCTCTGCATTCAGAAAGCAGGCTTTCAAGGATTTACATGCCGAACACAATGTCATGTCACAGGAAACCATTTGTGACAGAAAAGCAATGGTCAGTTTAATCTAAGTTACCAAGTAGAAGATAAACGAACACGTATCCACTGGAGCCTCCAAGCCTCCTCTTTTTCATCTGAGGACTCCTTTTCGTGCTTCAAGGATAAGAATACAGGCAGGCCCCGATGCTGCCTTCTGAAAATACTCATCAGTTTGAAAATCAAAACCAAAAAAAGGCTAGAGCCCTCCCGCATGTCAGCCACCCTCTCCCCACCGAAGGATAAAACAGATTGAACTTTCCTAACCTACAAAGACTTCCACTAGAAATATACGGTTACACCTTATCCTAAAAAGGCACCATGCAGGCATTTAAGACTGAACCACTTAACTCTAAGGTTGTGTAAGAGCAGCAGGAAAATGTCACTTATCAACACTTCCGGCATCAGACCCTGCTAAGCCCAGACATTTACCCCAAGGCCTGGTGAAATGCACCCTGGGGTGGTGCCCCCAGCTTCTGGCCACCCCGCAACCCATCAGGGGCCATAGCTCTGGTCAGGGGCACTGCTGCCAGGGTCCACACGCCTTGGGGACAAGGAAAAGAGATGGCTGCTTCGTTGTGCTATTCATGACCCAGAAAAGGTCCTGGGTGGCTTGGAGGACCTGAGAGATGAACTAGAAGGAGGAGCAAGCATGAAACAGAACAGGGGAGAGGCTGGTGTCTTCCCCAAGAGGCGGCAGAAACTCCCGGAAGTAATAAGAACCAAGAAGGACCAGACCACGTGACAAACAAGGCTAACAGTAGGGGAGCTCTGGTAGGGGACCCGCTACCCCTGTCCCAGTGCCATGGCTCATTTCAGGTCTGTCATACAGTGACGGTGTAGGAGTCAAAGGTTTCAGGTCGAATGGGTCATAGGAGCTCTGGAACACGATGGACAGCATGGATGCTCACTGGTCGATGATGGAGCGCTGCAGCACCTGGTTCATCACGTCCTCCTCATCGACGTCGTAATCCTAAGGGCGACACGAGACCTGCGGCCTGAGCGGCTGTTCACGGTGCAGCGGGAGTGGCGGGACGGCCCACCCTGGCCTGTGGTGCGCTGCCAGGGCTAGGCCAGTGCCAGTCACTCAACCTCTCTGCTCTGCTCCTCAACCTCACGTGAAATAACGATGCCTCCCTCAACGGGGCTGCAAGGCCCAGGCAGTCCATGACGGAGGCTGACACAGGTCTAGTGCTCAGCACTTTTAACCTCGTTCCTCAGAGAAGGTGAACGCGTACGCACATGCACATAGCTGAAGGGCCATCCTAAGAGGGGGATTCGGCGCCCAGGACAGAACAGGGTTCTAGGGACAGTAGGTACAGCAGGAACTGCAGTGAAGCTGGCCTTCTTTATTGAAGCAAAATCGTGTACTTAGGCACTAAGAATTACATTCCTAGGCCTGGCACGGTGGCTCACGCCTATAATCCCAGCACACTGGGGGCGCTGAAGTGAGAGAATTGCCTGAGCCCGTGGGTTCAAGACCAGCCTGGGCAACTTGGCGAGATCTCATCTCTACAATGAATCAAAAAATTAGCTGGGCATGATGGCTCTTGCCTGTAGCTCTGACTACTTGGAAGGCTAAAGTGGAAGGATCACCTGAACCCAGTAGGTTGAAGCTGCGGTGGCCTTGAGTGTGCCACACACTCCAGCCTGGGTGACAGAGTGAGACTCCAGCTCCAAGGAAAAAAAAAAAAAGGAATTTCATTCCTCTTTGTGACATTAACTAAAGGATAGCTATTTTTTGAAGTCTGAGTTTCAGACAGATACTCAGTCAGACTAAGAATATTCCTTATGATACCTTAGGAGAGAGCTTTCCTTCTTAGATTCTGATATGCCACCATTAAGACTGAAGAGTACTCTAAAATCCTACCAGGACACCTATATATGTAAATAAAACTTACTCCAAACAGTTGGCCACTATGAAGCCAAGGCAGTGGTGTGTCCCTTAAAACCATCCAGCTTCGTGGAAGAATACAACCCTGATGGCCAGATCTGACTAGTGGATGTGCTCTATTTCACCCAAAGTATTTTAAAAATAATTGAAAGCTGTGATAGTTCACGTGAAACTCTGCACTCCTGCTTCAGGGGTGGGGGTGGAGAAGGCAGGCACCACTGCACTTGTGTGTCCATGGGACAACATCAGTGGAGGTGATGGCAACAGCACAGGTCAGGCACCATCCAGCTTGGAAAGCCTCAGGAGGCCCTGTGCATGACTTGCTGGGTCCCCGGGGCATCTGAGCTTGAGGCTCCCATGCTAGGTTCCCTAACAGGTAGAGATGATACAGACCACAAGAAAGGGGGCAAAGCTGTGGGCGCAGGGCAGGGGAAGATGAGATGGCCCAGCTCATCCTCTTAAGGGCCACCCTGACCACCCACTGGCCCATGAACACAAACTGTGTGGCTGCCGTCCCAGCGCCTGGAGCCCCAACATCCTGCCAGTGACAGAGATCAACGGCAGGGCCCCAAGCTTCCCCTTTAGAAAAGTGAAGTTGTTGGGCTGCTCCCCAGGGGAGGGGTCAGAGCCTGAGCTCCAGACTCACCACGAAAGTGTCGTAAGAGAACTGGTGCCGGCGCTGGATATGCTCTATGAAGTTGGCGCTGCGGTAGTTGGGGTCTCCCCAGGGCATCGAGGCACATATCGGACAAACCTTTCAACAAAGAAGCAAAGTCTTAGGCCTGACATCCGAGCTGGCACCAGCTCTCTGTGGCCTGTGTCTGGCCTTCTTCCAGAACAGCCTTCCTGACACCCCAGTCCAGGGCCTGGTCACTCCTTCCAGAGCTCGTCAGATCCCAGACAGTGCAAATTTCCTGCTCAAGTCAAACAATTCGTGGGAGTGGGCAAAGGCTTAAGGCATGACCCGTCCTTTCTGATCCCCTACTGTAGTCAGAAAAGGGGTCAGTCTGGTGGCTGACCTAGATCATGGCCTTCCAACCCAACACAAAAGATGATCCCAAAGTACCAAGAAAACCAAGGAAATAATCAGATGAGCAACATCCCAACACAGCCTTACATGCATTGTGACAAAGTAATGCTTAGATGAGGAGACCAGGCCAAAAAGCCCTCGTGTAAAATGTTGATATGGCTGGATGGCTGGGTGTGGTGGCTCATGCCTGTAAGACCAGCACTTTGGAAGGTTCAGGCAGGAGCACTGCTTGAGGTCAGGAGTTTGAGACCAGTCTAGGGAATATAGTGAGACGCTATCTCTATAAAAAATTTAAAATATTAGCTAGGTATGGTGGTGTGTGCCTGTAGTCCCAGCTCCTTGGAGGGTTTAGGTGGGAGGATCCCTTGAGCCCAGGAGGTCGAGGCTGTAGCGAGACCGCCCTCTACACTCCTGTCTGGGTGACAAAGTGAGATTCTATCTCTGAAAAAAAAAAAAAACAAACACGTTGATTTGGGCTTTGAAGATTGGGAGATACCCGGAAAGGCAAAGAAAACATGAAAGGGGGTTTCAGAGAAGAGGTTGCAGCACAGAGAAAAGGCCAGGAGGTGGCAACTACCATAGGCCAATGGGAGGCCAACTGGAATGAAAATCCGCATGGGGAGGAATCGTGTATGGGTGCTCTGGCTTGGAGCCCCCTACCCTCCAACAGCAAGGAAGATCAATCTGGGACAGGGAGAGATGAGGAGAAGAGGTGGACAGGCAGCCGCAGAGCCAGAATGCAGGGTAAGACAGGAGGCTGAGCGGAGACGCTTCTAGGGGAAGGGAGGACAGTCAAGGAGTTGCAGAAGAGGGGAGACAGGGCAGAAAGCCAAGGGTTGAAGAAACAGAGGCTTCAACAGAGATGAAACATTAGGGGGATTTCAGGAAGTCAGAGATGGGGGTACAGGGGAGGGAGAGAGAGAGAAACTTTGGCCAAATTAATCTGTGTCTAAAACTTTCACTTATAAGCATACATAAACATTGGCAAGGCTATGTTTTTCAAAGTAAGATTTATGGTAGAGAAATAAAGAATGCTATCAGACCTAGTAAGATGAGCACTGATTTCAAAAGGAGGAGTATGTGACAAATGGGAGAATGACATCCCAACTGCAGAGGACGCGTGTACCTAACTATGCAGGAAGACCTAGACTGCTCATTACATTAGGAGGGAAAGGTAACTACTGCTGAGATGAGCCAAATTCAAACTTTTTTTGAGTCAGGGTCTCACTCTGTCACCCAGGTTGGAATGCAGTGGCATGATCATGGCTTAACACAGCCTTGATCTCCTGGGCTCAGGTGATCCTCCTGTCTCAGCCTCCTGAGTAGCTGGAATTACAAATGCACTACCATGCCCAGCTAGTTTTTTTGATTTTTTTTTTTTTTTGGAGAAATGAGGTCTCTCAATATTGCCTAGGCTGGTCTTGAATTCCTGGGCTTGAGCAATCCTCCCACTTGGTCTCCCAAACTGCTGGGATTATAGGCGTGAGCCACTGTACCCTCATTTTTTTTTTTTTTTTTTTTGAGTTGGAGTTTCACTCTGTCGCCCAGACTAGAGTGCAGTGGCCAATCCTGACCACCGCAGCCTCAACCTGCTGGGCTCCGGCGATCCTTCTGCCTCAGCCTTCCAAGTAGCTGGAACTACAGGCGTGCGCTACCATGCCCAGCTAACTTTTGATTTATTGTAGAGATGAGGTCTCGCCAAGTTGCCCAGGTGGGTCTCGAACCCGTGGACTCAGGCAATTCACTCACCTCAGCCTTGCAAAGTGCTGGGATTACAGGCTGAGCCACCGAGCCCAGCTCATTTTTTTTTTTAAGTTGGAATATCACTCTGTTGCCCAAGCTGGAGTGCAGTGGCATGCTCACTGCTACTGTAGCCTCCACCTGCTGGGCTCAGGCAGTCCTTCTACTTCAGCTTCCAAGTAGCTGGAACTACTGGTGCATGTCACCACGCCTGGCTCATTTTTTGATTTATCGCAGAGACAAGGTCTTGCCAAGTTGCCCAGACTGGTCTCAAATTCCTGGACTCAGGCAATCCTCTCGCCTCCGCTTCCCAAAGTGCTAGGATTACAGGTATGAGCCACCGTGCCTGGCTCAAATATTATTTATTTATTTTTTTTTAAAAAGGGACTACATGTCAGTCAGTAATATTTAAGTAAAGCTTCAAGGGACTGATAAGCCCCTTCCTAATAATTTTATTTAAATCCTCTTTCCCCACAACTATGAAAAAACGACACTCAGAAAATAGCAGTTTTATGGAGGAGAAATCTGGCAGATCCCTAGGGATCTCAGTTAATGTTACCAACCACAGGACCAAAAGACATCACACAACTATTTTTTTTTTAATTGGAGCCTCACTCCGTCACCCAGGCTGGAGTGCAATGGCACGCTCATGGCCACTACAGCCTTGACCTGCTGGGCTCCGGCGACCCTTCCACCTCAGCCTTCTAAGTAGCTGGAACTACAGATGTGTGCTACCACACCCAACTAGTTTTTTAATTTATTGTAGAGATGAGGCCTCGCCAAGTTGCCTGGGCTGGTCTCGAACCCACGGGCTCAGTCAATCCACTTGCCTTGACCTCCCAAAGTGCTGGGTTTACAGGCTGACCCACCGAGCCCAGCCACACAACTCTTAATGTGGCACCCGGGGGACACAGTACCTACATGTCATCCCTGCTTCCTCCTTGGGGGGAGGGGGAATTTGCCACAAAGGACATTACAACTGTTAAAATTTAAAAATGGGTTTCACGTTAAATAGTAAATTGTACCAATGTTAAATTTCTTAAATGTTATTATTTACACCCACAAAATATAATTTTGTAAGAAAATGTTCTTGTTCTTAGGAGATATACACTGAAATACTCAGGGTGCAAAGGGTCTTGGTAGTTTATTCCCAAACAGTTCAGCGAGAAATAAGTATATCTAGAGCATGGCAGATATGGCAAAATGTTAATCATTTATGTATCTCGGTGAGGGCATACAGGAGTTTGCTGTACTAATCCTGTCATTTTTATTTAAGTTGGACTTTTTTCCCATAATAAAAGTTAAAAAAAAAAAGGTTCCTCTTACCACAGATTTGGTATCCATGCTATGGGATAACTTGCAGTGTTCCACAAGTCCTTCCTGATCAAAGTTCTTTTCAGGACAGTAAGGACAAGGAAAGGTGTAACGATTTGGGACATTCCTAGAAGGCAAAAGGCAGGAAAAAAGAAAATCCTGAGAACCTTTTCATGGAACTGCAACAACTGCACACCCCCAAAAGAAGTAAAGCTCATTGATTATGTTATGACAAGGATTCTGATGATCACTTTCAGATGAAGTGTTTTGAAAATAACAGCCAGCTAACATTTGAAGTAAGCATCAGAGTCCTCCCCTGCATACCCCCCATTTAAAAAAACCTTTGATCAGCATTAGCCAGCATATTCATACAACTAAACCCTAAAGCATGCTAAGTGTCCAACTTCTTTGTAGCAAGAGATGAATTCCACCTACAGGGTGACTGAGTCGTTTACCTTGGCTGAAGAGATGCATCCTTAGTGGTGGCTTTCACACCTTCCATGATGTAATTTTGGTATTTGGAACAGGTAGCCACGTGGGCCCGGATCTTAGACAGGAAGAACTTGAGTAGGAAGAAGCAGAGCCCACAAGTTAGTGAGGACCTTGAACACAGTCCCAAAGCAAGGGCAAGATAAAAGCTAGACCTGCAACACCCTGGCAACTGATCTCACCCGACTCCTGATTATGCTGATGGAGCCAAAACCCCAACTACTGCAGATTTCCCACGAATTCCCACGACTTCCAAGGCTGGTGTTTTACTTGACCAAACCAGGACATCAGCTTCCACTCGAGAATAACACTCCCCGAGTCTTGCTTTATTCTTGATATCCTGCTCTCTGCTCACAGACATGCTCTAATTTAGTGATGTTTGTAAGGTTTTCTACACTAGCAGCTAAACTAGTCTCCTTACAGCAAGCCAAGAACCACATTCCATTATGTGGAGCAGAGAAAAGTGATCATTTAAGTAACCCCGGTTAAAGTATTAATCAACAGGTTGGAATAAATGATCTTTAAAAACTGAATTCTGAATTCCATCTTTCATATAAACCTAGGCTATGCAATAGTAAGATGGAAAGAGAGAGGAAACCCCAGAGAAGAGTGCTTCAATACAGGTGTTTTTCAAAGAAAGAAAATGTGTAAGAAACTAAGAGAGAGGTACGGGGAAGCAAAACATTTTTAGAGGTGCACCCACAATACAATCACTAATTGTGAAATGAAGAAAATCAAAAGCATATAGAAAAAAACCCCAGTATGCATGCATAAACAAAGATGAAGGGAATGGAAAATTCTATCTCATTATCTGGAGTTTCTAAAAGGAAACTACAAGCTCCAGTATTTGAGCTCTGGCTTCCATGATGATTCTTTTTCTCACCTCCAGCTAAGCAACCTGACCTGAAGCTGCCAGATGAGGAGTCCCCAATTAAAAGGGGTGGAAAGTAGCCCTGTTCAGCATGGTAACAGCCGTACCATGCACCCCAATACTAAATCACCCTGAAAAGGAAATGGTAAGATATATCCATACTGTGGTCATCCATGGTGAGGTGTTAAAAATAACTGACATGAAAGGCTGTCCAACATGTCATTAAGTAGAGATAATTTCTGAAAGTGAAAAAGGGTTGAAGAACTATATATTATACTATATTCCATTTTGTAAAAATCCTATAGCTGTGTTTGTAAAAACTTTGCATCTGTGGTTGTCAAAGGGTGGAAAACATTAGGCAGCCTTTTAAATTGAACCATTTTTAAGTGGTCATCTCTGAAGAGGAACAGGCCTACATTATTTTGTATTTCTCTATTGTCTAGGATTAACAAAATTATGATTCTATAATCAATAAGGCTGTGTACATCTCTGGGAAAACAAGACAATAGTATTTGTCCTTTCCAGTGGTAGTTACAACAGATGTGAAAATAAAAACTCTTGCCTCTAGGGCACAAAGGCATTTCAAATGTTGGATGTTGCTATTATAACCAAATGAGCTCATGTTGACCTTTATATCATGATTCCTCCCTGGCAAGTGCTGAAAAGTTAAGCCATTATTTTTATATCTCTAACAATATAGATTACAAAATTTTCCCTCAAGTTCACTGAGACAGATAAGTTTTTGAGTTAAAATTTCATTGTATATTTTCATAATTATGAAATACCATTGTCATTATATTCTGATTAAAATTGTGTATAATGCTTTAGAAAAATGGATCTTTTATAGGAAAAAACCAGGATACTTGATTTCTATGGCTTTCAAAGCTAAAATATATACTTAACCAAGTCTTGAAAGAATAAACAAAACCCAGTAAGGTTACGGAAATGAACCAGCACAGCCATCGCCACAGGTAACTGGCATGCACACGTGCTATTAGTCACCTAGTCATGCTAACTTCAGAAATGCTGTGGCAATAGCTCTATGTTTTACCCATCTCATCACAGAAAGACACTGACTCTTCCACGTTATTCCACATACATTCTTACGGCAGCCATGGCAAGAGGTCTCTGTGCTCTCGATCTGCCGCTCGAGCTCCACGGCTCGGACGCCAGGTGCCAGAGCGCTGCGACACACCCCACAGACAGGCTTCTTCGGCTTCAGACATTCCTGCAGGCATGCAGAGCAAAAGCTAGAACAAGACACACAGAGAACCTCCGTCATGCATCATGGGGACAAGACAACAGATGTGGGTCAGTTTTTAAAAAGACATCAATGAAAATGGAGTAAAACCAACTTTGCTCCCTACTCCCCAAATTCTAAGTCCTCCTAGGCCAAAAAACCAGGGGTGCAGGGAGATTGAAGCGCACACAGGTACAGAAACAAGCGCAAACTATCACAATACACAGTGAAAGATGTTAGGAGGTCTTGTCACAGAGGGATCCTGATGGGGTTCCTGAACCTCCCCTTTCTCCTCTATGAAATGCAGACAGCAGTACCTACCCCTCCCACCGCAGGAAGATGCAGTATGCATAGCAGACCCGAGTGTCGGCACATACGAGTCAGTCAGCGGGAGCTGCCACCATCAGAGGTGAAGGCAAGCACTAAGGGACCACAGAGGGAAGAGCAACTGCCAGGACCTGAAAACACAAGGCCGCTCAGACCTCAGAGGCTCACCCATGAGCAGCCCCAAAAGAGGTCAGCCACAGGAGGGAAGGTGTTTCCAGGTCCCTGAGCTTACAATCCACGATGCAGCTGAGGAAGAAAAAAATCAAACAGACTTTTCCTAATAAGCAGGAGGGACCAGAGATGTTATTTATTTATTTTTAATTAGGAAAGGTAGATTTATTAAAGGAAAGATACGCTGTGAAAGGCACAATGGGCAGGAAACACCAAGAGGGTCTGGTGTCTGCTGCCAGGGCTGGAGGTTTAAAGCAAGACATCAGCCGGGCTCGGTGGCTCAGCCTGTAATCCCGCGCTCTGGGAGGGTGAGGTGAGTGGATTGCCTGAGCCGTGGGTTCGAGACCCGCCTGGGCAACTTGGCGAGACCTCATCTCTACAATAAATCAAAAAATCAGCCGGGCGTGGTAGTGCATGCCTGTAATTCCGGCTACTCCGAAGGCTGAGGCGGAAGGATCACCAGAGCCCAGCAGGTCGAGGCTGCAGTGGCCGGGAGCGGCCACTGCACTCCAGTCTGGGTGACAGAGTGAGAGTCCAACTCAAAAAAAATAAATAATTAAAAATAAAAAAATAAAGCAAGGTATTAATAAGATCAAATCCCAGCTTCAGTAAAATAACTCTGGTGCTACCATGGAAAAGGGTATTTTGTCTGTTTTCTTTTTTTTTGAGTTGGAGTCTCACTCCGTCACCCAGGCTGGAGTTCACTGGCACACTGACAGCCACCGCTGCCTTAACCTGCTGGGCTCAGGCGATCCTTTGGGCTCAGTCTTCCAAGTAGCTGGAACTACAGACGCATGCCACCACACCTGGCAATTTTTTTTGTGTGTGGTTTATTGTAGAGACAAGGTCTCACCAAGTTGTCCAGGCTGGTCTTGAACCCCCGGGCTCAGGTAATCCTCTCGCCTTGGCCTCCCAAAGTGCTGGGATTATAGGCTGAACCACCATGCCAAGCCCTCTTTTTTTTTTTTTAAAGGTGAGGAAAGACAAGAGTAGAAACCAAACAGATGGCCAAAGGCAGGGGGTTGTGAGGGTCTGCCTGAGGAACAGAGAATGAATTCAGGAAATGATTCAGAGGGCAGAATCAGGATTTGGTAACTTACTAAATTTGGAGCCAAAAAGGAGGAAAGTCAAAGATGACTGAGTTTCCGTCCCGAAGCCCAGGAGGGTGGTGATGGAGATGAGGAATACAGCAGAATGGTAAAAGGGCACAAATCTGGGTACCACCCAGACTCCCTATCCAGCCCTCCACCACACTACAGAGTTAAGGCAGGCAACAATACCTGTCAGAAGAACTAAGGATCAAAGACAATCTTCTGCACATGTGACAATTCTGTTACAGTCTCTAAGAGCTTCCTTCCTCTCGGCCTTTGAGATAGATGTTAACGCTGCCAGGCAAAATTCCAGACAGGTTCAGAGAAGGTAAAGGGTTCTACTCATTCACCACTAGGACAGAGGGGAAACTGCACCAAGTTCCTGCCCTGATGATGCTTACATCCTAAAGTGGAAGAGAACACCAAGGTTAATCTCAGATAGTGATGAAATATGTGAAGGAGATAAAACAAGGCACAGAGAGCAACTAGGGCGATCGCAGGAAGCTGCTTCGAGGAGCTGACGTTTGAGCTGAGATCTGACCTTAAGGAAAGCAACACAGATCAGGATGCAGATTTCCACAGAGATGGCACCACACACACGGGATCACGTGAAAGGCAAGGAGGGCTTCGGGGGCCATGATGTGGCAGACCAAGAGAGGAAGGGCAAGCGTGGAGGTGGGAGAGGCAGGCAGAACCCAGAGCAACCTCAGAGGACACTGGGGTCCCAGAGAGTGTCCTGAACCCAAAGCAGCACGAGCTGAAAGCAGCTGTGTCCCTAGCACACACTCAGCACAGCTCCTCGGTCAAGTGTTCATGAGCGCCTTTTGCCTGAGTCACGCCCAAGCAACATGCCTGTGTTTAAACTGCCGTTATCTTGGGTTGGATTTTCAGTTTCAATTTCCCATTTATGGGCCCTTTTCTAGTTCAGTCTTCCGATGCCCCACCCCTCCTGTCACAGTGCTGTGTAGAAATTCTCTTCTCCAGTTGTATTCCAGATTGGAGGACAGCATCATTCAAGGCTTGAAATAAAGTTTTATAAAAACCCAGTGGCCCAGCAGCAATGCTCAAATTTCCAAGCACAAGGTTAAATATCAACTAGGCACAGCAGAAGTCACTTGGCTAGGGCTCAGGGGGCCTTGTGCTGCCCTCACAAATGGGCTTCCACCTGTCTTCACTCAGCACTGAACACCCAGGGGGGAGGGGCAGGACAGAAGGGGGCAGGATGGCGAGGACAGGAAAGAGCCAAGGTTCTGTCCCTTGCTCTCTGTCCCAGGAAAGGTTAACGCTCAAGGAAACCTCAAATCATGCTGCTCCTCAGTTGGTGAACAGCTGGGTCAAGTCTTTTCACAAATGTTAACAGTAGATGAAATTCATGAATTAAGCCACAATTAGGTACACCTGATTCTCGGATAAGAGGACTCAATAAGAAAGCTACCTGGACGCTTCCAGCTATTTCTTAGCTTGTTCAACCATTACCTGATCACCTCCCACTCACAGAGGTCTGATCCCTGAAACTCCTCCCCTGCACAAAGCATTTCCTTGACAGTTTGAACGTTCATTAGTTTCTAAGTTATAATCAATGTACTGGGCTGTAAACCCTGAGCAGAGTCACCTTATTCCCATGCCCCAAGAATCTGGCACCCAGAGGGTGTTCCAGCCAGCCGACTGTAAGACTAGAATACGATGCTCACACCCTGGGCAGAAAACACACGGCCACTGTCCTCCGGACCCCTACGTTTTGCTCCGTGAAAGAAGCCCCAGAAGAGAAGTGGTGGAAGCCATCTGGATGGGAGTGGTGATAAGCTGGGACTTAGAGCCTGAGCAGGATCTGGGCGTGGTGGTGAGGGGTGGGAATGGGGCAAGAAGAGCTCCAGGCAAAGGGAACTGCAAAGAGAAGCCAGAAGCGCCTGCAGAAGCAGGAAGCAGCCGCTGTGGCTGGGAGCTCTTGCCAGGTGCCAAGCACTGTTCTCGAGGTTAGCAAAACAGACACCTGCGAAGAGTTAGGCAACGAGCAGAGCAGCCCCCATGTGGGCCCCAGTCCCTCCGTTTATTCGCCCCCTGCAGGGTTGCCATAGGAATAACGCCCATGAGTCTCAGGAGGGGCCTATTGTGCCCGCTGGCTAGTAAAGGGCGCCCAAGACCAATGCCAAGGGGAGCCCGTGATAAGCACTGAGGCCACAGGAAATGCCCATTCTGAGAGGCAAGAAGCAGGCGGCCTCGATTTCTACGACTTCTTTTGGTGTGTGTATCTGACGGCGTAAGGCTTAGACTCAAATGGGCCAAGCTCAAAGCACTTACCACAGTCCAGGACCAGTCCCGGACGCCTGGACACGTCTCAGCTTTAAACATCATAACCTGGCTGTTAACAGCATTCAGGCCACGGAGGCTTAATTGAAAACAGGCTGAACGAACCCACACAAGAGAACAATCCCTGTCCCCGCCCCCCTCCACAGCTAAGCGGGGGGGGCAGGTCCCCATGAAGATCTCCCCAGCTTTAGGGCACATGAGAGGCACTCGGCAGAGCCAGACACACGGTGCCCGAGGCTCCATCCCGTAGGAGCGACCCAGACGACTCCAGGGAAGCTCTGGTCTTCAAGGGCGGACTTCAGACCCTCCCTCGCCCCAGCAGGCTACGACTCCCCGATCACGTGTGGAAGGAGTTTGACAGGCCGCCCGGAACACCGTCGGCGCCCAACGGCGGGCCCGCTAAGGTGGCAGAGGGGCGGGACACTGGGGGGGAGGACGCAGGGAGAAGAGAGCTCCCCGCAGCTTCGGAAGCCCCGGGGTCCTCGCGGAGAGGCCCCCCCAGGCCGGTCCTCCGGCTCCTCCCCTCCGAGCCTCCCGTCGGGGCCTCGCTCCGCGGCTCCGTTCTCCTCCCCGCCAGGCGCCCCCGACCAGGCCCGCGCTCGCCGCTTACACGTGTCCGCAGGGCACCTGCACCGGCTTCTCGTACACCTCTAAGCACACGGGACACGTGA